ACGGCGCCAGTAAGTTTTGTGGCCGGCGGCATACAACAAGCCGGCAAGAAGCAGAAGAAGAAGCAGGAGGAAAACACGGCCAGCGATGAAAATGTGGACAGTGAGGCGGACGACAGCGACGAGGCGCGTCCATCATTTGGTCGCAAACAGCCGCAGCTCATGGACAACAGCGACGCCAACAGTTCGGACAGCTCTGCTGGGCCGGAGGAGCAGCCGCCCCAGCGGCCCACAATGCGGAGCACAGCGGGTTTTAGGCACAGTTCGCACATACCAAGCAACAGGAATGTGGGTGCCTGGGAGCAGCATACGCGTGGCATCGGCGCCAAGCTGCTGCTGCAAATGGGCTATGAGCCCGGCAAGGGACTGGGCAAGGATCTGCAGGGCATCGCACAGCCAGTGCAGGCGCATGTGCGCAAGGGACGCGGCGCCATTGGCGCCTATGGGCCCGAGACGGCAGCCAGCGTGGGCGGCCAGCCGGCCAAACCGCTCAAGCTCGACGAGGACGTTCGCGAGGCCAAGGAGTTCAAGGAGCAGCTAAACAAGTGGAAGAAGAGCGGCAGCAGCGACACGCGCGAAAAGTCCAACAGCAAGCGCTACTATTACAAATCTGTGGAGGAGGTCATTGCCAAGGGCAAGAAATCGGATCATCTGCTCTCCGAAAAGCTGAGCAAGCGCCTGGGCAATGTGCCTGTCATCGACATGACCGGACCGGAGCGCCGCGTACTCAGCGGCTATCATGCCTTGGCCCAGAACAAAATCACGCCCGAGGAGACGCTGTACGATGCGCAGGCGGGCGAGGAGAAGGGCGCCACGCCCGCCTCCGTGTTCAGCATGCCCGAACTGACGCACAATTTGCAGCTGCTGGTGAGCCAGTGCGAGCAGGAGATCATTGCCATAGATAAGTCAGAGCGCGAGTGCGCGGATCGTCAGACGGCGCTGGAGCACGAACAGCAGCAGCTGCTGGAGCTGGTGCAACTGGAGCGCAATCACATGAGCACACTGGAGGCGGCGCTATCCCGACTCGAACAGCTCAGCGAGAATCCCGAGCTGAGCCTGGCGCAGGCGGAACGGCTGTTCCTGGAGCTGCAGCACGACTATGCCGCCGAATACAAAGAGTTCGGCCTCGCCGATTTGGCGGCGGGCGTCATTGCGCCTCTGCTGAAGCGCGAGCTGAGCGACTGGCAGCCACTGGAGCAGCCCACGCAGCCACTGCAGCTGATCAAGCGCTGGCGCGGCATTCTGCAGCAGGACGAGCCCGAGCTGCTGGATCAGCAGTCGCGCAATGTTTTCGATCCGTACTCCTCGCTGATCTGGGCAGGCGTGATGCCCTCCTTTAGATCCTGTGCGGCCAGCTGGCAGCCCAAGGAACATGCGCCGATGGCCGCATTGCTGGATGCTTGGGCGCCGCTGTTGCCCACTTGGGTGCTAGACTCGGTGCTGGAGCAGCTGGTGTTGCCGCGCCTGACGGCGGGCGTGCGCGATTGGGATCCGCTAACGGATACGGTGCCCATACACATCTGGATTCTGCCCTGGCATGCCATATTGGGCGTCAAGCTGGAGGAGTCCATCTATCCGCAGATACGCAGCAAACTGGGCGTGGCACTGCAGGCCTGGTCACCGCAGGATCGTTCGGCGCGCGCCATGCTAACGCCCTGGCAGGCCGCATTTCCCGAGGAGCAGCTGGTGCAATTTCTGCTGCGCCACATCATACCCAAGCTGCAGGCGGTGCTCACCGAGCTGGTGATCAATCCGCTGCAACAGAACCTCGAGCTCTGGCATCAGGTGTGGGAATGGCACGAGCTAATACCCGCCGAGCATATGGCCCAGCTGCTGGACAAGTATTTCTTTCCGCGCTGGATGCAGGTGCTGGTCATGTGGCTCAATCAGTCGCCGGACTTTGCCGAGATCTCGCGCTGGTATGCCGGCTGGAAGAGCATGCTCAGCGAACCGATTCTCCGGGAGCCCTGCATCAAGGAGCATCTGCGTCGTGCTCTCGATATGCTGCATCGTGCCACGGATGCGGTGCTCCAGCCCACAACTGCCCCGCCGCCGCCCATGCCACCGGTTGCGCCCGCTCCTGTGCTGCTCGCGCCCGTGATGCTCGTCGATGTAATGCCGCCCGCTCAGCTGGAGTTCAAGGAGCTTGTCTCACAGAAATGCGCCGAACTGGGCATCATATTCGCACCGCTGCCCGGTCGACGGGAGCTGGGCAAACAGGTGAGTTGCAAGCGCGCGGAATTTCTAACTAAACTTTTATCGAAGAGTCGCATCGCATCACCAGGAATCCTGGCATTTAGGAGTTCACATGCACCTCCTGCTACTATATCATATAGATCTATAGGAATAATCGTTCGTAAAATGAGTTTTTGTATGAGCTGAGCTCTTCTGTGCTTCGAAATTTCTTAACCCAGTCCCGCACGAACTTCAATTTTGTCCCGTCCCATAGAACCTCATTGAAACGGACTACTATATCTTAAAGCTATAGGAACAATCGGTAACAGTCGGTAACCAAGCCAGTTCACAGCCGGATTTTTAAGGGAAACTCAGCTTTAAGCATGAGATCAACTAAATTTGTTATATGCCTATTTCGATCGCTATGAAAAGGGGTTGAAATACTTTTAGTAGAGCAGGCAAATTAGCATTTTAATAGTGTGTCCTCTCTTTTCTGGTACTTTTTCATTTCTTTTATACACAATTTATCTATTTGTTGATTAAAACAAATAATAAAGCATGCTTTCTTTCAGATCTATCGCGTGGGCAAACTCTTCTGTTACATCGATCGCAACGTTTGCATGCTGAGCGATGTCAGTTTCACGAACTGGCAGCCGGTGGGACTTAATCAACTGCTGGAGCGTGCGCAGACGGGACTTCTCTAGGGCGCAGTTCGACTAGTTATGATTATTGTTAGAGACTCAAAAAGGCGCCTATTCTATAGCCCATTAGATATGCTTAAATAATAACTCTTTTCAGTTGTATATTGAATAATTGTATCATACATTTAATATATATAATATAAGGAGATAAGTCGACTCTGAATTGCTTTAAAAAATATATTCTCAGTTAGATGTAACAAACCACATGCAAGCACATTGTCATATATAATCAGGCAGCAGTCCGTTTTAACTAAACGTCACAAACAAAAACAAAAGTAAAGATAAGCTACAGCAGAAAAAGAGAGAGAATCGCAAGAGAGTAAATTGAGAGTTTGAGCGGCGATTAAATTAATTGAGATTGACTACACAACTTGTCACATAAATAGTAAAGGCTTAAGCTTGAAGAACTGTGTGTCTTGCATGAGTTTATGAGAATCGCATAGAAGGGCAATACATGTAACAAAAAAATGTATATGTAATTAGTGGGATTTATTTAGAACATCTTTATATAGAAAGCATTTAAATATTTTTCTTCTACTTTGAATTCACTTATCGGAGTGGATTCAGCAATTGAGCAAATCCACTCTGATAAGTGAATCAGATTTCAAATCACATTTTGCATATATGTTTGAAAATAAGATGGAAATCGATTAGATGCTAAACAAATACAGTCTTTCGTATATTTTTCGGCCGTGGCATCGAACGCGTGCAACATGTAATCATTCTTTTAGAATGTTGAGGTCCACAGCTAAACTTAATTTTGGGTGTTTGTGGAGGATCTATTAACATTTTGTCATGGTATGTGTAATGCATTGAAGGAAACAACTCGGACATCTTCCCATAAAGTAGATATATTCTAGATCTATGCGAACTTGTTCCTTAGTCTTAAAGCTATCGTCTTGATAGATATTTAGACTTAACTTGGCATTTATTAGTTTCCCTATGAAGGTTATATATGTGCAAAATGTTATTAGCATTGGACCAAATGTGGATACTTATATAGCAAAATATTCTCATTTCTAAGATATTTTCTACAATTTCAGCACTTTCGGCTTTCATTTTTCCCAAGAGTACCCAATCTTATTTCGTGTTTGTTTTTTTTTATATCAGGGCTAATTTTTCTACATAATTGAGAGAAATATTTCTCAGCTAGTAAATGCTCAGTTTGACTAAGTCAACGATATTTATGGTTGGGTTTATCAAGAACGCAGGAAGTCGCTGCCCTATCAGAGTTATAAACACAGCACTGAGCACTGGGCCTACGCGACTTACACAATTATATTGTACACACAAATAATTATGCTCACAACAAAATTTGATATTGATCACAATGTGGCTAATCTATACACTTATCGCAGCCATATCTATGAGACCTTATCATTTACAGCAATTGTGCGTATTTCAGAGTTAGTAAAATCTTTTTTCCAGTGGGGAAAAAATGAGCCCTAGTCGAACTAGAATGCGAGAAGTGGCTGGCTCAACTTAATCAAATTTGTTATTACTCATAAAATATGATTAGATTATATTCAAAAATATATTATGAATAATAAATTGTTCTTTTTTTCTATTGACATCATTTTCTCTTCAACTAGATTTGGAGATCAAATCCAGGCGAAGAAAAAAAAAGAAAATATGACTGAAAATTTCTGATTAAATCGAACTTTGTTTACCTGATTCGATTAGCTACAAAAAGTTATTACATTTGCTGTTCGATTTATAAGTTGCCCGTTAACACTTAAAGATTGCCAATATCAAAGACAGATAAAACAGGCGGCTTATCAGAGATGGTAGCTAAAGAGTTTCGAAGTTGGGAAAGGTATTTGAACGAAATAGAAACGCAATAAAATAAAAAAAAAATGCTATAAAGTAGACTACAATGAACTGAGATAATTTTTGGTAAATTTTCAAATGAAGCGCCGAATTTACAACTTCTTGAAGTTCCATGCCTTGTCGTAGAACTTTATTGCTTGTGCTCGTGCTTGGCTCGTGCCGTAAAAACCCAGCACGCGCCCATCTCTAATTGTTAGCATACGAATTCGTATGCGTACCAAGGCCAGATTAGGACTCTACCAAAAGCCCCTATCACCAATAGGAACCCCCTCTCGATTTGCAGCCTTCAGTTGGCACTCATCACTTGTCGCTGGCGGTTGCAGGCGCGCGCGTTCTTTAATTCTTCGAAAGTTCTTAACTAATTCTCAAAAAAAAAAATGACCAGAGTGTTATCTGAAGATTAGCGTAACGCATCCCTTCAGTTTATGGTGCCATAAATTCTTATCAAAAGCTACAAATTTATCAAATTCCCAGTTTGGCCGCGTTTCAGTTTAGCACGTACTTGGGCTAAAGTTCTGCCTTGAGCTGGGTAATGAGAGACCTTCGTCTGGGCCGGGTTTATCATTGAAGTTGTGACAATTGTAGAGTGCTCGCGAGTTCTATATAAATGTACCTCATAATGCAATTACAGTATATGTAATTGTTTCAATTTTGCACTCAGACCAAGTGGTTCCACATCCATGGTTGTGCAGGTCAATAAACGCAGTGTGCTTCTGGTGCTGCTCGTTCTCTTGGTTTTGCTGCTCGTCTCGCGCAATTTGCGACAAGCCCAACAGCTGGCAGCTGCCCACGAGAGGCGACAGGGCCAGCAAACGCAGGCGGACTCCCTGACGCTTCTGGACATAAGCGCAGCGGAACCGCCGAGCACCGAGGAGCCCCGACGGCTGTCGGCACGCACCCAGGAGCTGCAGGCGCTGCTCAAATGTCGCAATCGTCGTCTGAGACTGCAAAAGCTGCAGCACGGCAGCTACTGGGTCATCCAGAATCTGGTCATGGGACGCGAGAGTCAACGCATGGCCTGCGCCGAGTCCATCACCTACACCACAAACGGGGACTATACCTTCTTTGACAATCTTGAGACGGTCACCGAGCGGTAAATAATCTTGAATTTGAATGCCTTTTCAAGGATCGTAAATGTTTTAGCTTTTAAATTAGTTACTTTGAGAACGTTTATCGTTTTAAAATTGAACAATTTTATGGATTTTAAAAAAATTTAATTACGTAGAAAGAATTCCCAGGCTAATAACTCGCGTTAAAGTTGTCTTCTTTGAGAGTACTTAAAGTTTATTGGTACAACAAAATGTTTGTTAATTTTTTGTTTCAGAATTATATCCTTTTTCAAGAGATGTTCCAAAATCGATACAAATCGATCTATTGTTGCCTGTTTATTTTTTTTTTAGCATATTTTGATTATCTTAAGAACTACAGTTTTTAAGCTAAGAATTTAGTTTCTTCTATAGCACAAACATATCCAGAAAAGTTCATATATTGTCCCGGAAAAATGTATAGTACTTATTTTTAGAGATACAGCTACGGACTTTGGAATCGACACACTTTTTGAAGGCATATTTATGCCCGTAAAATTTCATAGCTATCGGACTTCAGGCACCGAAGTTATTCAAGAACGAATTTGGGTCTTAGAGCAGAAGAAATATGCGTGCTGGAATATTTTGAAAAGCAGCTTGGCGCTAGATAGATTTGCAAGTCGATTGGAGCTCTTAGTTTTGGTTTTTCTAGAAATCTGCCAGCTTTATCCAATTAATTATTCATGAATTTCTGTCATCCACTTGCAGCTGGCTGGGACCAATCAGTTTTGCGATACACACGCCCGGCTACGATCTGAACGCCACGCTGGATGCCATACAGTATGTGAGAAACTGTTTGCCGGGCAGCCAGTTGATCAGCGATTTTGTCAGCTTTCACATATACTTCTCCAACGAGCATATGCCGGAGTATGTGCCCCGAGACGAGAACGACGCGCTGAACTGGCCCTTTCGCTGCGTGGATGAGGGCGGCAGCCCGTTGCCGCCGCCCTATGCCGCACAGAATCGTACGGCCATGTACAAGGTGCAGGCGAACCTGACCTATCCGATAAATGTGGGCCGGAATATTGCACGGGGCGCGGTCAATACCCACTTCATATTCGCCTGCGACATTGAGCTCTATCCGAGCCTGGGCCTGGTGGATCAGTTCCTGGACATGGTGCAGCGCAACCATAGTGTGCTGGCCCTGAGCCCGGGCCAGCAGCCGCGAGTCTATCCATTACCCGTCTTTGAGCTACAGGATGGGGAGCGTGTGCCCAATGACAAGGCCGAGCTGCTGCCCCTTCTGCAGAAGGGTCGGGCGCAGCTCTTCCATGCGAAGGTCTGCACCAGCTGCCACAAGGTGCCCGGCTACAAGGATTGGATAAATCGCACGGCCAGCGTCGCGGACGATCTGAATCTGTTTAGCATGACCGTGCGACAGGGCAACTACAAATACTGGGAGCCCTTCTATATCAGCGACAATACGGAGCCCATTTTCGATGAGCGCGTCACCTGGGAGGGACAGTCCAATAAGCGCATACAGGTGGGTCAAATATTGTTCGATTTGCTCTTCATTCTAATCGGAAAATGCAGGGGAGAAAAATTTACCGATTTCCACAATAGAGCCAAGTTTTCTCAGAAGTTTTTCATACAAGAAATTAAGTTTTGGCAGAAAGTAGGCTCTTACTATAATTTTTATAATTCTTAACTAAATTATAATATAATATATCGAAAAGAAGATATGATATATTATAGCGAGGAATTCCTTAAACTGATTCAATTTTGAACAAAATCCCCTCGATCAGCTGTTCACAGTGTGCCCAGTAAAAGTCTGGAACTGGAACTGGTCACACTGAAAACTGTGATTCCACTTAGCTTGCTTGTGTGACCGTTCATTTCGATGGACCATATGCGGTCACACTGCTTATTATAAATGCGCATTTTTCTCACTTGAATTTTTTGAAAAAGGAGCTGAACATGTTAAAAATACATTCAGCAAGCGAATTATGATTATTAAAAGGTTAAGAAAAGGCACAAAGTCATAATGGGATCCGTTTCAGGAATCGCACTAATATCATTTCGTTTAATTTAATTGCTTGTCGATTCTCTAGTCAACGCTTAGAGTTAAGATCGCTTCTCATTTTGAGGCATTGGAAATCGTTTAATTTATACCCTCTAACCTGCTTCTTTCAGGGCTATGCTATGTGCCTGCTGGGCTACGAGTATCATGTCCTGCATCCTGCCTTTCTGGTGCACAGTCCCGGCATTAAGAAGCCCGCTCGCAATTCGGTGCGCGCCAAGTATGCCAAGGAAATGACCAGGTTTATCAAGACCAAAATTGAGCCCGAATATCGAGTACTCTACGGCAAGAACAAGAATTGCATGACGTGACACGTGGAGACGCGACAGGCAAATGCTTGTGATGCAAGTGATATAAACTTAACATTAGTTGTAAATATTTAAAATAGTTATTTTTGTTGCGTTCATATTTAAAATATGTTTTCATTAGGGAAAGGGACACGATTCTGTTTATCTACTGTTACGAAAGCGCTAAATAATTAAATAAATAAGTATTTGATAGAAAATTTTGTTATAATTATGTAATAAGTAAAATAAAATTTATAAAAAAAAATGTACAAATTAAAATGTTATAAGCAGTATCAAAAGTAAGAAATTATCATCTTTGAGGCATAAATATGCTACCCTAGCTTTTAGAATTCTCGAGATCTGTTCGATAACACAATATTGATATCGATTTTTATAGATTTTGTGGCAACAGGGCAATTATTAATATTCGAGAGAAGAAGGGGAAGTTATTAAATGGAAATATTCAGGATCTGAGTATACCAAGACTCTAGTGAAGTTATTTTCGCTAGCACCTATAATTCTCGAGATAATCTAATAAAACAAATGATCGATATCAGTTGTTATCGATTTCGAGGCAAAGGGACGCGAAAGAACTTACTTAAAAACCTAATCAACATTGCGGTAAATGCCGAACCTTCGAATTGGAACCATTTTCACAGATGGACTCCATGCCGCATGGCTCATCGTAAAGTTCCTTGACGCTGACCACGCGCATCTCTTCTACGCTCTGATATCGTTTCTATAATTTTCAAAAAAGAATCTCACCATTTGCGGCAAGGTGGCAACGCTGCAATTGTGCTGAGAGTGGCAATACTCCATCTGCTGACGCTAGATGGCGCCTTAAACGGAGTTTGTTTTCTCTAGGTCAAATGTTTTGTTTCCGAATGAGAGCTCGTAAATGCAATAATATATTATTTTATATGTACATTTCATAAAAAACATTATTTTAGTGAAAATTGTAAGAAAAGTAAAAGCTAAGTTGCGAACCAAAGCCTGATGTGATAGATGTGGCCAAGCAGGTTCACGAACCGAGCCTTGTCTCAAGCCCCAAGCCGAAACTCCGAAAATGTCTAAGAGGTTTATAGCTTTGATAACAGCTGAACGTCAGATATATCAGGGAAACGACAAATCAAAATATTTAAGCAAATAATACCCATAGGGAGGAAAACATTTCGGTTTACAAACGAGAAAGAACTGAAAAGTTAAATTCTCATAATTGCAAGAAAGTGAAACAACATCTAAGAAACTTTGAATTGTTTCAAATACAATTTTATTTTTTTTTTAATAAGAATTTGGATTTGTTAATTAGAATCCTTTTCGGTGAGCATAGTCCAAGTTGATGGCATTACGTAGCAAGACTTCGGCCAAGAGCTCCTGGCTCTGGAAATGCTTGTGGGCCTCATCTTGGGCATAGTTCATATTTGGCGTATCGGAAATTGCTTCCGAATTTTCCGCTTGCCACCATTTGGGCATATTTTTAAACACTTTCGGCGAGACATTAACAATATTGATTGTGGGCCTAAACGGATCCGAGCCATAAAGCTCTTGATATTGCCGGCTTCGCACAAGTTTCAGAATTTGCTCAAAGGCGATCAGCGCCAAGAAATCATAGACCGTTAGCACTGCGAGATATATTCGATATACATATATAAATTTAATTTATTTAAATGATCAGAGCACACACTTGCATAGGCAGTCGCCGTAAGAGTTAGCAATATCAGTTTCTCCAGGCTCACGAAATGCCTGACGATACGCAGAAAGAGGACGAAAAGCGTTAAGATTTGCACGATATACACAAACTCGAATATGGCCAGAGGTAAAACAAAATAACGCTTTAGCTATTCAAGAAAAGCAAAAAAATAGAAACTCAACGAATTTCACATTCTATTCCAGCGCTCACTTTATAAGCCCCAAACGCGGCCATAATGCAGGACATGCAATGGATAATGGTATAGAGCTGCAGAAATATGGTAACTGTTTCGGGATCTGTAAGATAATACGGTTATATACACGATATATGCCACGACATAACAACAAATACTGAACAACAATTATATGGCAATATGCAAGATGTGCATTTCGACAAAAATTACAACTAAATTCCAACAATTCTACGATTTAATTGTTGATTTTTAGGCAAAAAAAAAAACAAATAACATTAAGAGAAAATTATTTTAGTTTCAATTATAATAAAAAAAATTTAATAAAAATATTACCCTAATGAAATATATTTTGATATCAATAACAATATGAAATTATTTAAAAAAAATTTAATTAATTGGAAATTTGAACCCACTTTCTTAAACTAATAATTATATCAATATTATAATTAAGTTCAGAATATTTATAGAATATTATAAAATAAATATTTATAATAATTGTATTCTTGTTGTAATCAAGCAAAATGATTTTTTAAAAGAATAACAAAATAGAAAAAGTCGTAATAATAAAATGAAAATATTCATAAATTATTAAACTGATTGCAAATTTTCTTCATTTTTTTTTGCAAAATTAAGGAAGTACATGCTGTTCTGTACACTTTAACAATAAAAGACGTGTTTTTTTTTTTTTAATTTTGATTTACATTTCCTGTTGTTTTTTTATTTTTTGTTAATACTTACACTGTTCCAGCCAGTAAATGGTATCTCTGACCATATAGTAGCTAGCTCGATAGCTCAGATTAATGTCAAAAGTGGAAATTAGCGAAAGCGTGAAATCAAAGCCCTCCGTAGAGATGACATATAAAATGGTAATGCTTTTAATCTGTAATGAATACCATTAGGAATTGAGAAGTCGCTGGTTCAAAGCCAGCAGCATTTGTTACCAACAGCCCAAAGAAAAGAGGTATATCAAATGCGAGAAAAAAAAAAAACGAAATTGAAATGAAAACGAGCAACGCCGCTTAATTTCTTCTAGTTAACTATGTCTTTGAGCTTAACAAACCAATGCAAACGCGCTTATCAGAATCACGCCCAGTCGAACCGAGGCGCAGAACAGATAGGACTCCATAAACAGCATTTCGGCCAGGCACTGAGCATTTCGTCCTTGTCGCATTGCGAGGCGAACGCCAGGACGTTCAGCTGGCATATGAAATATTGTTGGCCATACGAATTGCATTAGGGCCAAATATATATACAAATATACAAATATGAATATCATGTATGCAGATTGGCATCGGCAGGTGGAACAAGCTTTTGTCATTTACCCCACCTTTCTACCGCCCGCCCTTTGTCCTTGTAATCGTCAGTTATTGTCTTTTTTTGGGGCCATTTGTCCGGCTGGGGCCAGTCGCATGGCTCCGGCAGCAGCAGTTCGGCTAGTTGTCGCCTGAAATATGGCCAAGCATTTAAGCTAATAGAGCTCGCAATATGTTGTTTATGGAAAGCTATTTGTGCTATTGTTCGGTGCGTCTGGGCGTACTAATTGTGGCTGCCTTGGCCATGGTAAGCAGCATCCTATTCGTATTTTTGATCCTGATCTTCACACACAACTCTACCCAGATGCTGTCGCTGACATTGAGCACACTCCTCTTTGTGCGGGGCGTGCGTTTGTTTGACGAACTCATCGATTTGCTGGAGAATGACTCACAGTACAAGAGCAGCAATATTATACGCAGACTCATCAACTGGATAGAGCAGTGTGAGTATGCAAATCGAGTTTGAATCATGCTGGTTCAAACCCTCAATTTGAATAACTTTTGATGCCCCTAGAAACCACATTTTGCCTTAAATCAAATTGAATTCGTTTAAGAACTTCTAAAAATATGAGAAACAAGCATTCAAACAAAATCTGGCTTCTGAATTGGAAAGTTGTTTTTAAGTCTTGTTAAATCTAGTAAATATTGTTTAATTAATGCTTTTTGCTTCTATAAACATTGCAGCACCCGATAATGTGCTGATATTCCTGCAGATCATCTGCTATGCTCACATTGCAGCTGCCATTCTGGGCATGGTCGGCGCCTTGAGGGTAAGTACTTGATACACCCATTTCCAGGAGCCAATTCCAACTTTTTCATTTCACTTTCCAAAATTAAGTTAAGCTGCATCAAACAATTAAAACTAGGTAATGTTATCCTGTCTGAACTCCTTGACTGGTTTTGTAACAGGCAGAAAGAAGCACAAAGAAACCCACAAAGAAATATATATATTCCTGATCAGCAACAATTGCCAAGTCGATCTAGCCATTCTCTGTCTGTTGAAATCTTGTTTTCAGGATTTTGGAGCTAAAGTCTCCAAATATAGCTTCTAAAATATATATGAATATTTAAAAGTATCTATCAGGTATTTATTTCTTGGGAATTCCCGACTAGAGGCTCTTATTAGTTTTGCTTCTGGGCATATAAATTGTTAAATGTATTTATGCTTAATTATTTAATTATTTAATTAATTTATTTTATTTATTTATATCAAATGCGATCTATCTATCTATCTATCTTTCCATCTATTTGTCTATCTATCTATCTAACTTAGTATCTATCTATCTATTTATCTATCTATCCATCTGTCTATCTATCTGTCTATCCACCTGTCGATCAATCTATCTATCTATCTATCTATCTATCTATCTATCTATCTATCTATCTATCTATCTATCTTTCTATCTATCTATCTATCTATCTATCTATCTATCTATCTATCTATCCATCTATCTATCTGTCTATCTATCTATCTATCTATCTATCTGTCTATATAAGCTTTGCCTATGCTCTAAGAATTGTAAGATTTGCATTCTCTTGGCCTGAAACAGATTGAGAATTGTTCTTAGTTATAGAGTAGAATGCTGTTTAGCTATTGAAGAATTTTTACATATTTATTTAAATGAAATTCCTTTCAATCACTTTTTAGCTGCACAAATGGCTTTTGCTGCCGTTGGCCTTGTTCGAGCTCAGCTACTTTCTGGCCATAACAATTAGCCACATTGTGATGATGATTGTGCTGAAGAAGCAAATCAATTTGGGCCTGTTGATTGTGCTCACGCTGGTGGGCAGTTTCTATTGTCGTAGGTGGACACAAATGCATTCGAGTTGTTTGTTTTTTTCTAATGAGTGTGTTCTGTTTATTCGACGGCAGTTTTCGCGGGCTACAACTGTGTCACCTGCCTGGCCATGTACCAGATCATAAATCTGGTGCGGAGCAGCAAGTACCGGCAGCTTTATGGCGAGGATCCCTTTCAGCCCATACCGATGCGGCGTGCGCACGGCGAGATT